TAATTTTTTAATTCACACTATTATTTCTCCTTACTCAATTAAATATAATTTCAAATTGTAATAAAACTTGCCAAACTTTATTTATTTCTATACAACAAATATCAAACTATTGATTATTAAAAATTTTTTATAACTTATAACTTAAACCTATTTATTTAAAAACATTTATTTATATAAACTATATTTTGAATATTTCAAAAAACAATACTTCTAGTTTATAAATTCATAATACCTCCAAATTTTGTCTTAATATTACTATAAATATTATCCTTTAAGAATTTATTACAAACTACTGTATTCCATCTTTTCATTTAGTCAAACCACAATTGATACCTGGTTTTAAAAATTTTTTACAAATTACAAAAAACAATTTAGTAATATCTATGAACAAAAGATTTACAACTATATTAAATATTAAATAATAATATCAAAAAATAATGAATACCAATAATTAATTCTTTAAAAATCTGAACTACCAACTATTTAATTCATTTAAACTGAACAAACTATGTTACTAAAATAGCAATACACTATATATACACCTGCACCAATCTTGAAAAATATAAAGTTCTTAATCCAAAAACAACTTATAATGTCTATAATCTAAGTTCTTATTACTTTAAATAAGTTTTTAATACTATACTTATCCAACAATATATGTATCTATTTTTAAATCTTTTTACATTCACTTTTGTAATATTCTGCATATTTTTATCTTTTAAAGATCTTTATAAACTAGTTGATCAATCTAAATAAAACTTTATTTAACTAAATAATATATTTATTAATTCTAAATATATATTCTATTTCTTTTATTGTTATCTTAAATCTTACATTAAATCTGTAATGACAAACAATAAAATTATTAATCTTAATCATAAAGAAGTACAAATAAATCTCTTTTTAAACAAGTGATTTACAAATTCTAATCAGAATCATTGTTTACTATAACATCATTCAAATCTTTAAACTAACTATTATTCAACTAAAAAAATCTTAACAAGTTATATTTCAATCAAACAAACCAATATATTATCAAAAAACTTAATAATATTATATCTAAAATATTAGAAACCAACTTTATTTACATCTTTAATATATCTAAAATCATTAATAAACTCAATGATAGTTTTTTCTTTTAGCTAAATTTATATATGTTTGTTAACTTTTTCTTATTTATTCATTTATCTAATTTATATTATTTGTTTTAATTACACTCTTATAATTTTGTTAACTTTTTTTATCTATTTGTATATTCAATTAATACTACTTTTTATCTTTTTAATCATACTTTATTTCTAATTTAATTTATCTTATCTTTGGTTTTTTTTTTATAATGATATAATTAACTTTCAATAATGTAAATTGTTAGTAAATTCTATATGTAGCTTACTAGTATATACTAGAATAATGAACATTATTTAGAAAATTCCAACTAATCTAGGTGAGTCTTAATCACTCTAGTAGGTTTAAGCTGCAGATAAATATGTCTAAGTTCTTATTTTTGTATGTAGTATTTTTATTACTTAGAGTTATAGTTTTATAGTTAGTAGTTTAATAGTTAATCCTAACTGCAAGTGTTAGTCTCAACCATAATATATATAAAACTTCTTTTTGTATTCAGTAACTCTAAGTAATTACTACTTAATAACTATGAATAAAGATAGAAACAAGGCTTCACCTTAATACCAAAAAAAATATTACAACCTTTTTTTGACTTATTAAAATTAATCATTTATTACTAAATAGCTTTTACAGAACACTTATTAACTACTTACTTTAACTAATGTTCAAACAATTACTCAAAGGTTTTCTCCAATTTATCCTGACTAAAATAAAATTTGAAATAATTAATTATAACATTTATAAGAAATAGAAGGTGTAATATCACATTGGATGCTTTCTGTAACATGAATATACTGTAGTTTAGAAATATTTAAAATTTAAACTTTTGATTCTATATATACTAAAGTTTCTACTTGAACATTATTAAAAAAAAACAAATAATTATAACAATAAAATGTTAACACTAGTAATATGTTTGCAATAAATTAGTACAAACAAAAGTCTAAAAATTATCGATATTTACCTAATATCTTAGGTAGTTAATAGTGCTAATAATAAAGTACTTTTTTTGTAATAAATTATTAAAATGTCTAATTTAGTATCAAATAATATGCTTTTTTATTGTTTACATTTGACTAATTATCGCAAAATTTAAATTTCAAAATTTGCCAAGAATCACGCATTGGCTTTAACTGGATTTTTCATTAATACCTTTATGAATGTATGCCAGGCGTCATATAAAAAATTTCGATAATTTAGATACAAAATTTAAGAAACAAAACCATTTTTCGAATATTATTTAAAATCCGACTTGTATCTTTTTTATTTTCAAAAAAAAATAAATTCCTTTCATCTCTTATAACTTTAGTCTATAATATTGATATTCAAAGAACCATTCGCATGCTTTTTTTACAACTTTGTTCAAAGATTGTAAGATCAAGAACATCAGTAGCGCCCCGAAGTTCTCAATTAAATACGAATTAATAAATGTGTATAGTTGATATAATAAACGCGTAAAAAATTCCTTCTATAGAAAAGTTATCATATAGCTTATTCACATAGCTTGCTTAAATCATAATTTAGTACAAAAAGAATAAATAGTAACTTAAAGATCGAAAGGCGTTTACATTTAAAAGTTGTAGAAATTACATTAATAAGTCTCTACATACTTTATTTGCATATAAAATATGACGTATTACTACAAATCAAAAGTAAATAGAAATCCTAAAAAGTATATACAGGATAAAAATGATAAATTACAAGGTGTGCAACAATTTTAAGATAATAAAACTTTATGTTAATGTCGGACATAATATATGCTAAAATTTTGTAAGTAATTTGCTATAGTGTAGAAAGCGATTTCATATAAATTATTTATAGAACAATTTATTGAGATATTTTGACTTTTGAATAATTAGATTTTAAAGTAAAATTAATCCTGTTATGATAAATATTCAATTCTCTCAGAGTAGTGTTCTTGTAAAGTGCATCTGCTAATGCTTTTCCTCCTTCTGGTCCAAGATTATTCGTGTCAAGATTCAAAGAAGTTAGCGTGGTATTCTTGCAAAGCGCATCTCCTAATGCTTTTCCTCCTTCTGAACCAAGTTTATTATCATTAATTTTCAAAGAAGCCAACGTGGTGTTCTTGCAAAGCGCATCTGCCAATGCTTTCCCTCCTTTTGGTCCAAGATTATTGCAGCCAAGATTTAAAGAAGTCAGCGCTGTATTCTTGCAAAGTGCATTTGCTAATGCCTTTCCTCCTTCTAATCCAAGATTATTACGACGAGACCACCAACTATATCCACCAAGATTTAAACATTTCAGCGTATTGTTCTTGCAAAGTGCATTTGCTAATGCCTTTCCAACGTCTGATCCAAGATTATTATTACTAAGATTTAAAAAAGTAAGCATTGTGTTTTTACAAAGTGCATTTGCTAATGCTATTCCTCCGATTGATCCGAGTTTATTACAGTAAAGATTCAAATCTTTCAATGTGATGTTATTGAAAAGTGCATCTGCTAATGCTTTTCCTCCTTCTGATCCAAGATTATTAAAGCTAAGGTCCAAAGATGTCAGAGTAGTGTTCTTGCAAAGTGCATCTGCTAATGCTTTTCCGACGTCTGGTCCAAGATTATTATTACCAAGGTTCAAAGACGCAAGCACTGTGTTCTTGCAAAGTGCACCCGCTAATTTTATTCCTCCTTCTAAGCCAAGATTATTACGATAGAGGCTCAATGAGGTCAACATGATGTTCTCGTAAAGTGCATCTGCTAATATATTTCTTTCCTCCGGTCCAAGATTATAATATTGAAGATTCAAAGAAGAAAGCGCAATATTCTTGCAAAGTGCATCTGCTAATATTGATTTATTAATAGCCGTATCAAGTGTTAAATGTTTAAGATTTTTACTTGCTCGCAGAAACATTGCAACTAAAGAACATTTGACAGCATTTGCAACATCATCATCATCATCATCATCATATATTTCGACATTATATCCTTCATTTTTAAGCCAGTTGTCGACACCATCGGTAAAATAGTAACCAACAGATGTAGTGTAACTTTCGTAGCCAAATAATAGCCTTGGATAATTTGGAAGAATAATTTTAAATGGGATTAATAGGGCTTGCTCTTCAAAATTTAATGCCAAAAGATATATTCCTATAAGTCTTTTATCACTTAAATTATTTGTAGGTTCACTCCATAATATTGGTATAATAATTCTACACCATCGACGATTTACAAGAAGGCACGAAAATAAAGTTTCATAATCAGTTCGAAAATTATTAAATATGTCAAAAAGACATTCGTTCGGTAACATTATCATTTTGAAAAAACTATTATTAGTTTGAAAATTTTATCAAGTAACTTTATTACTTTGAAAGAACTATGAATTTAGTATAAAGGTAAAATTTGGATTTTGCCGCCGATATTGATATATATAGCCCAATGTAAAAATGTCGTGCAACGACCGCTCCCTAGATGTGATTAGTTAAGTGATTGAGATGTTGCACAATTTAATCAAAAAAAACTTATTAAAAATTCATTGTGCAATACGGATCCTAATTTTAGCCAATCGGAGAGCAAATCAAAGATTGTCAGCACCTCCAAATTTTGAGAACACGGAACCCAGTAATTATCACATCACGTGAAATCATGCTTTGACGTCATTTGTTTACCAGCATTAATAAGCGCCTAAACTAAAATATCACCTGATCCTAACACTAACTCTAACTTAGCGCGAAATCTATGGACAGTTCTTAGGGACAGTGTGGACAGTGCGTGATCACATGATACTTTAGGGACAGTGTTATCATATGACTTGGTATGACGCAACTTTATGTGAACAAAATAAAAAATTTATTATCAATCAATATATCTATTTTCTAAATTTAAGTATTGCATTTAATAGATCTCGCTTAAATCTATGCACTATTATTTACTTTTTGTGTCTGTTTTACTAGTTGAACCACTTACTAAGAGAAATTGAGAAATACGATCTTGGATTAATAACTTCCATCGTGCTGCAGCTAAAGTGGGGAATTGTGTCCACCGATTAACAATTGGAGGAACAGGTGCACCAGGTTTCAATACCATAGTTACATAATGATTTTGATTAACAAAAGCGATTGCAAGTGCTTCATTTCGGTTCAATGGATGGTGATATGGAAGAAAGGTAAGACTGATTTGTAGTGAGAAGAAGTATAAGGGTCTTTTGTAAGCATTTGCTATAACATCATCCATTTGTGGCATTTTCATCCAGTGATCGAATGTGCAAGGGCCGCTCTTCCAAGAAATTTCTTTTAAAATCATATCATAATCATCATTTGCAAGAAACAATGATCGGTAAAAAGGTTCATTTTTATTTAATTCTTCAAACAATTCCTTTCTTATATTTGGCCATTCATTTTCATTTCTTCCTAAACCCACAGCCACTGCTCTGTACCCACAATTTCCATCTCCATCTACATTAACCACGTTTTTTATATCTTCATGTATAAAAATAGGTATCTGATCATAAAATAAAGGTTGTTGTGACTGTTGTAGAACTTCTACAAGTTTTGTCTCTAGTTTTTTTATATTTTTTTCCTTTTTTTCTTTTTTTGATTTTTCTTTGGTTGCTTTTTCTTGATGTTCGCTAAGAAGAGAGTTTCGCTTAGTAGATTGTGAACGTCTTTTAGGCAAAGTAGACACATTATGTAATGGTGCCTTTGGGACTGGAATTTCTTCAGTGACTAGTGTTTCAAGCTTATGCAAGAATGTGGCTTTCGACCCACTATTATTAAGATGTTCATATTTTTCTTCGAGCTTGTAAAGAACTTTACTAATAGTCATGTCAATTGACAATAATAATGGTATTGAAGATACTGAATCATGTTTTAGATGCCAGCGTTTATGCACGAGGTTAAGTGGAACAGGTCCTGTTGGTAGAATGATGTGACGACATGGTAATTTATAATTCAATCTCAAGCTACAATTACAAGAGTTATTATTCACATTCTTATTCTCATCAATTTCACATACTTCTTTTTTGATTCTATCGATCGCCCATCTAGAAATTTTTCCAAGCAATAATTCAAACCTTTTGTCATTACATATAAATGGATCAGCAGAAAGAATGTTCGAGCCTAGGGCTTCATTTGTTTGTAGTTGGTGTTGACGAAAGGCACGATCAATATGTAAAAATACTTGCTCCAAACCACTTGATGCTTCTATTGCCTTTTTTAGAGCGCTGTGACTTCCTTCCGCTCTCTGTGTCGACTGGGTTCCCATATGCAGATAATTCTTTGTAAAAACATGCATCCAACACTTCGCATCTTTTTTCCATTCTTCAAGATAATTTTGAATATATTCAGGATCCCTACTTTTCATTATCGCTTGACTAATTTCTTTAAATGCTTTTTCAACTTCATTCATTTCTTCAGCATAGGCAACTTTCTGGACTGCCAACAGGAGTTCATTATACTCTTCATCTGAATCAAAAAATTTTCTACATGTGGTTCGTAAGTTTTGCGCAAACATATGCCAAATGCATATCATTTTTTTTGCCTCTGGAAAAACCTTGTCTGTTGCTTTTCTAAGGGCCAAAGCCCTGTCTGAAACAAATACTTCTGGGGAACAAAAAAAAATGTCATAAATTGTCTCTTTTAAAGTAAATAAAAACCATTCATATGTGGGTTCTTGCTCATTTGCTACCCATGCTATTGCTATTTGATACGTGTTAAGAGCTTTAGCATTACCGATATTACTTATACCAATTGTATTGATAAGAGGTAACTTATATAAGTTCGTCTTATATGTTGCATCGATTATAAGCACCTCTGGACATATAGCTACTTGACGTGCAGCTTCAATATATGTGAAAAATAAGTTTAACATATGGCCATCTTTTGTTAATAGATGACGAAGTATATATTGACGTTCCTCTAACATTTTTATAAGGCGCATTGTAGTGTCATGATTTGTGCTCTCATTTAAAGCATTTTTTATTCGGTCACGTTCATTAATTATATCTTTTGTATATACAGTACTTTGTTTCCAGTGTATCGCATCAGCAGTTGATCGAGTTGATGTCCCACTTTTAAGCATTATATGAACCAACTCTTTTTGCTCTGTATTGAGGTGTCGATGTTGAGGAAGACAATGAATTTGAGATGGAATAAGTAGTTCATGATTATGCACACTTTTGGAAGACGTTACTATCCAAGTTCTGGTGTTTTCATTTAAAACAGCTTGTAAAACAACAGGACAGTTTTGACGTTTTGAGAGTTTTTTTCTTTTTCGGGTCTCTTCATTAATTTTATGGTTATTTCTGTAGATACCTCCCATTGTACATTGCAAAGTTATGAAAGGGGTGTGGCCACCTTTTCCACCACCTGACATTTTTGATGATGAAATGCTAAAGGCAAAACCTGCTGCCTTAGCACCTTGTTGTGCCATTTCCTTGAAGTTTTCTGCTGTTGGAAACTCATCGCCAACTTCCGGAATTTGTGGTTGTGATTGCGACATAATGAAACGATGAGTTTTATTTATTTTTTTTATAAATGATTATTTTATATAAAGGAATTAAACAGTTGTATTTTACTTAGCACGAAGTAGTTTATTCAAACACAATATTACTAGTGGCGATTTGATTTTTTTATTTATAATTTTTACGAATTCTATTCTTTTATACATTTGATTTTTTTTTTATAGCTAGGCACCATTAAATATAAAACCTTGGGAATATTCATAAGCAAACTAGTAGGTCTTAATATATCCTTTATTTATGAAACCAAACTAACTGCTTTTCTTAATTTCTTCTACAGTCTAATAATAAACACAATTAACAGATTTTGCGACTATTTTATAATTAATCGCTTTTTGGTAATGTTAGTTTTAACGTATGTATTGGTAATACTGCAGGTTTCAAAATTACAAGAATGATATTCAGTTTCTGGATGCTAATCACGATTCTTGAATCATTTAATTTTTCCATTCTAAGTTAATATATCTATCGGTAAAATCAATCTGTGTAATTAATGTTTAAAACTTGGTGTATGTCTTATTCAAAAATAAATTACTGTGATTCATAATCAGATATTTTATTACATTTTTTTATATCGGATCTTTATATTATATTAAATATATAAATCGTATAAAAACATGTGATCTATATCATTCGAAATATCACATGATCTCGCACTGTCCCTAAGAACTGTCCATAGATTTCGTGCTAACTTAGGCTGAGTGTATGATCATGTGATATGATGATACTTTCTCAAATTTTATTGAAATGATAACTTGTTTGGTTTATTTAGTTTGACCAATTAAAATTTGTCTTCTATCTATTGATTGAAATACTTGAGAACACCTTAAATCAAACAAGAGAAGTTGTTATACTAATAAATATTTGTAAAACAGATATAAAATAAAAAACTAAAGCAAAAAGATATATTCTGTGCTGAAAACAAAATTTATGTATTTTTAATTAACATCTTAGTATTTTTTTGTTTTCATAAACACTAACCTGAAAAAAACACTAGTGTTTAATATGATGTCAATATATCTATTATGAACATTGCAAAACCTTAATTTTTAAAAAACAATTTATAGTTTTAGTTATATTGCTTTTAAGTAATATAATTTATTTATATATTTCTTATTTTTGATCTTTTTTATTTATTTTACTTTTATTTGAAAGAAATTTATTTTTTTTTTATAAAAAAATAAATTATAGTAATAGGATTTTAGAATTTATTGTATATGAAATATATTACATTCTTTTTGTTATTTAAATAATTTTGTTTAGAAAATTATTTTTAAAGTTCTAATAAAAAAAATTTATATAAAATTTTAATATATTCTATACTTTTTTCTTATTTTAAACCTCAATTTTAACTTTAATATTAATAAAATTGATTTTTTAATTTAATAAATTTTTTTTATTATACAAATTTAATTAAAAATTTATATTAATATTATATAAATCTACTTATATATATATGTTTATTTTAAAGATTGCAAAATAATATATGTATTTATTATTTTAAAGATTAAATTTTAAAAAAAAAATTAACTTTATATTAATAATATACATATAAGCAAATGTTATTATACAAAAATATTATATATGTTTTTAATTTTTATAAATTTTTATATGAAATATTAAATTTATATTAAATTAATATATACTAATTAATTAATCGATTTTATAAAACTAATAGTAACTGGTCTACTACCAATATTCTTTAATACAATCAATCTATTATATAACAAAATTATTTTCAATTTTAAAATTTTTCAGTTGTTCCAATATCTAAATATTATAATCTTTGTCTATTACAATATATTATAGTCAAATATTATATATAATGCTTGTAGATATGAGTCCCATAGCTTAATGGTTAAATACTTATACTCCCACAGTCAAGATCAATGGTTCAAGTCCAGTTGAAGGCAAAATTGAAAGACTTTAGCTTCTGTAACCCATAAGGAGTCTGTAATTAAACATGAAGTTTTGTGATCAAGTTCAAGTGCAGTATATAATAGAAAAAGGAATTCCTAGAAAGAAACTGACTTTGCAAAGTGTGAGCACTACATGTAATAGCAATGTTATAGAAAGTTTCATTATACAAAGAGTTGTGTATGTAAGTTCTCTAAAGATGGGACAGTATTAACATCTTTGTATCCAACTTGTAGAGTACTTGATTGGAAGAATAATATCAAGGTAACATGAACTGGAGTGATGAGAGAAGCAGTGCATGCATAGAAGGTTTGTGATAAAGGATTAGCTTTATCAAGATTAGAAACACCTCTGGCACTGTAGAATGACTAAGAATAGAAGGTAATCATCTACATAGAGAAGTTGTAGTCTGTTCTGTATATCTAAAGGTTCCAAACTGAAGCTCTGATCATGCCTATATGGAAGCCTATAATAAAACAAGTAGAACATACTAATATAAATGCTGTACTAATCATAATTGAGATACCTAAATTGAAAGTAAAAACCTACTTGAATACAGTGTAAACATCTTAGTCTAAATGTAGATTCAAGCTAGGATGTTCTTAAAAAGACAAAGAGATTGTCTACAGTTAAAAACAGAGCAAAGAAAAATCTGCAGCATAGTATGACAGTAGTGAAAACATCAGTTAATAACTAGAAGAGGATGTGTACTCATCCCTGAAATAGAATTCCATCTATATCATAAAAAGAAATACTTAAGAAGCAGTTTAGATACATAATCTATTAGAAATAATACTAAGACCAAGAAGGATTACAAACCAGCAGTGGCAGCAGGAACCTAACTTGAAATACATGCTAGAAAGGCACTTTTCAGACAAACCAAAAATGGTAGCTCAAAAGAAGTAAATAACTCAGTGAACCAATTTGGAAGTTGTTAAAAATAGGTTATGAGACATGGAAGAAATATATAGGTTATCTAAATATAATTAGTAGTGAAACAAAAATCCAGGTTAGATGTAAGTAGAACATAATACAAAACTTTAGTAGGTTTAGGTTGCAGATAAATATATCTGAGTCCTATGTCTAAATAGATATATAGTAATAGACAATGTATAATAGATTTGTACTAGCTATAACAAATATACTAATAAAGACTAGAGGGCATGACCTTATCTTAATACCAAAAATATATATATATAATATTTGTCAACTAATTGAACCTATACTTATACAATATTTAAAATATATTATTTTTAAAAATAATTAAAAAAACTTAATATTCTATACTTAGAGCAACTATACATTGCTAATAATAGCACTTTACTTAAATGACAACATCTTTTATCAAGACTATATCAACTAACAAAAGATAAACAAACTTTGTAATTTATTTCTCTTGAAAATAAAATTATATTAGATAAATATCTTACCTTACTTTTAATTACCTAGTATCAACTCTTTCATATATAATATATATCTTATTATCAAAAAACAAAAATTTTGCTTTTTATTTATAATTTTAATAAAGTAATTATTATTAGCAAAATCTGCAAATATATTTCTGTTTCTAATTCACTGTTGATTACATATTGAAAATTTAATATTAATTTAGATTATGTTCAATATTATCTATTTCCACTCATTAAATGCAAACTATATACAGAATGTTACCTTAATTCAAATAGAATTAACTAAATATATACTATTAATATATCTACAATTATCTTTTTAACATTTCTAGTTAGAAAAATTTTTAATAACCTTAAACTTAATGCTAATTATTTTGATTTTACTTTTTATACTGATGGTTTTGTTATTAATATTAGATTAAAACAACGTTTTATAGGTATTGAATGAGTTTAAATTAATAAATAAAATCAAATTATTTATAAATTCTTAGCTCAAATCTATTTATGATCATTATCTTATAAAGTTGAATTAGTTTCAATTTTATTAACAATATTTACTATATTCTGCAATCATCTATTCATATCTATATAGACTCATAATTTGTTATTTCAAAATTTTTATACTATTAAACCAATTACAAAATCCTAACAAGTTATTCAAATTTAGTACATAGTCTTTATATATATCTTTTTTAATATTATAAAATCTTTTAATCTTTAAATAACTTTTTACAAAGTTTAAGTCTATAATAATAATTCTTTTAACAATCTTGCAGACTTCTTAGCAAAACAGCATATACTTCTTTAACCTCTTATTTTTAATTATACTAATATTTATAATCTTCATTATATTCTTTAATAAAAACAAAACTTTATTAAACTACCAATTAGACATTTTATCAAGAACATATGCAAAGCATATATACTAGTAATATAGTTTTCACAAAAAAGAAATAGTGAATAAACTCATCTAAACTACCTTATAGACTAGACTGCTTCTTGCCTTTATTTTAATTATAACAAAAAGCCTACATCTTTTTATATCAGTTTTAAACTTAATTAACTCAAAGCTTTTAAATCTAAATTCTTACTAAATAAGTTATTTACTCAATTTTTTTATAACTGATATTTCTTTATCATTACCAATACTAAATGTTTCAAGTGCAATCTTCCTAACTTATCTATATACTGATATATATACTTTAATATATATAATATTTTCTTTAAAATTATCTATATATATGTTAACTAAATACTTTTCAAGACTGAACCAGACCTATCACCTTTTCAACTTTAAGAATTAGGTTTTAAAATATATCATTACTTATGTTTTAATTATATACTATTTTAATATAACTTACATTTTATAAATAAATACTTAAAGAACTTATATCTATGTTACTTATTGAAGTTATTCATAACTTTAATATACATTTATAATTAGCTTTATAATTAGTAATCTAAATACTTTTATATATTAATGAACAAATCTATAAACTAATTTAAAAATCATACTGTATTGAATTCTTTAATTGAAAAAAACATAACCAAATCCTATCCAAATACCAAAACAATATTAGCAATACTAATAAATAACTTTGAAATTATAGAACTTCTAAACAATATTGGTAAATATATATATACTTATATTTATA